TGGATGGCCATTTTGCAGGGGTATTGTAGTTGCAATTCTGTCTTGTAGATCCTACATTAGGAGAGGACTAGAGCAGATGGTGCCTTTCCGACTGTATGGTTCTGTGTAGGCCATTAGTTCCACATCCTGGGATTAGTCTGAAGTGTAGAGCAGTCCTTTTGAAACAAAACAGATTTGGGTCAGTCCCTGGAAAAGGGAGCCACCTGGGACTCCTGAATACCCTGACTTGACGTTCATGGAGGAAAGATGGAGTGTAAATATAACAAATGCATATAAATAATACTTTGCAATTGTTTTAAGTAATACTAAGCACTTTCTGGGGCCATCTCTCCAGAGCTTTTGACCTTTTATGCTTACTCACTGTATGAATTGGCAAGGGGGTTTCCATCTTTAATCCTCAAACCCTTCAAGATTTATGTAGCCTCAATCAACATAACTTGCACCTTTGTCTGGAGCTGTGTTCTGTCCTAGTCCACCAGTGTTTATAGTTTTTGTCTAAATCAGCCATATAAGCAGTTAACGGCAGTTGCCAATTCAGGAACATAGTAACTTCTTGTTTTTGTAAGGTGGGGTTTGTTTCCGTATCAGTTGCAACATTTAACTGATGGATCAGGTGGATCAGGTTGCCCTTTTGAAAAGCCAGCATTGAAATGAATTTTCTGTTTCTGGTGTGCTTGTGGCAGAACAGCCTCCCTTGCGGAATCACTCTTAGAACAGCTTTTGCTCCATTCAGTTTCACTTCTTCCCAGCCACCGTCTGTGCTTGGCAGTGTGCTGGTTGTGTGCAGGATTACATTTTTGGGAAGTAGACTGCCAGAAGGACGAGGAAGGTCAGCAGCGCTGAGTGTTCTTCCCACGCTGCTACTTTCCTGCAAAATGTTTGTTTGTTTTTTTAAAATGAGCAGAACAGCTTTATCTGTGAAGGTTAACTTGTTATCAGTTAGACAAAACAAGACAGTGGCAAGCGAAGTATAGCAAGGCCTATATCCAGAATTGGAGCAAAAATAGCTGCGCTTTATGCATCTTGTTATACGCAGCGGTGGCCTCTCCTGGGGAAGGGCAGAACACGGCCTGTCTTGGTGCTGCCCCTCCTCTTAAGTGTATCTTTTCTCTTATTTGCTCATGGTTGGTGCTACCTAATTGGCCTCAGTGGCATGTCCATGGCCTCAGTGGGCCGAGGAGTGTGGCTGTCCCAGACCCTCAGTGGTCAGCACAAGGGAATTAATGAAACCTTGAAGAACCAATGAAGGCCACTGGGTTGCGCCTTACAAGGAAAACATCATGGCTGGATGGCTGTAGGACCCAGGCAGGACGAGTGGCTTGATCATCATTGCTTGTTCTGCAAGCAACCCAGGGAAGAAGATGGATCTCTGAAAGCTGTGCCCTGCAGGCACGTAGCTCCATTATCCCCAGCTAGCCGAGCTGTCCATGGCTCCCTAACGGTGAGACACAAGCCGAGCTGCTGTTGCAGAATAGACAGGCAGGTGGCTTCGGCCTGTGGCGATGAGTCTGCATGTGAACCCTCCAGGTGTGGCCTGGAGTCTCCAGGATTATCGGGAGCTGGCCAGCTGATCTGACAAGCCACTTCTGCTGCCATGCTAGTCAGGCAAACTTACTGAGCCCTCCTGCGTGGCCATCGCTACTGGGCTGAGTCTTCTAAGACTCGGGGTTGTTGACTGCCCCAGCTCTGGGCCAGGGCCGGAGAGAAGCAGGCCCAAGTGAAGGGCTCACATGTGAGTCCAGGGGCCTGAGCTGGAAGGGTTTTGTGGAAAGAGCAGGGGAAATGTTGAAACTAGAGTATGGATGCAAGGATGACCCGGAGAAGCAGGCGCAGACTTCTGGTTTTAGGGAGATGTAGCTCAGAAGATGTGGTTGTGTGATTTCCCCCCCCCCGCCCCCCATGCATAAGGTTTCATACCTTGTCAGGTTTAATTGTCAGCTGTTTTAGAATGCTGATCTGTATGGACCTGTCTAGGCTGTTTAAGTTGCTAAAATGTGGTTTAACATTTTTAATGAAATGCTATAATGTTTTTACTGCTTTAGATGGTGTTTTATTAATTGAGTGGAATACAAATAATAATAATAGTAATACAATTAGACATATGCTTATAAGTTTTGTAAAACATAGTGTTGCAATTATATTTTATTGCACGTTAAAACTGCTTCTATGAATAAAAGTGTCCATGTGTAAAGGCAGTATGTAACAGGGAGGTGGAGTAGGAACAGAATCTGGGCTTATGTGTAAAAAACAAGTTCATTGTTAAAGGTGAGAGGTTTCTGCTTTTCCAGCTGTGGCAGCCAAGTGGGCTGTTTCCACTATTTTATGTATTTAATTTATTCTATGTATTTTATTTTATTTTATTTTATTTTATTTTATTTTATTTTATTTGTGTTTATATGCAGGATTTTAATGATTGTAAGCCGCCCCGAGGCTTATGTGAAGGGGGTGGCATATAAGCTGTCTAAATAAAATAAATAACAAAAAAGAAGGTGATTTTTGAAAGGCCGTATTCCACCTCACATGCTGACCTCCCTCTCGTTTCACAGTGGGCCCAATCTGGTTGGCACTCAACACTTGAATTTGCAGTTAAAGGAACTGATCAACCCGCTTCATTTCCCCATGTCATGCAGTTACTCAGGGTGCCAGAGCAGGGCTAGTTCAAAAGGGTGGCAACTCTGGCTGCCACCTTTCTACTTACACTGAGTTGAACTTTTTTTCCACTTACACTAGGTGGCAAAGGTGCTCTAAGTTTGGGCTTTGTTGAACAGCTGATTGCCAAAGGAAGCCATTGTAAATGTGGTCTGATTAGGTTAAAATACGGCTTCTTCCAAATGAATTTAATGACAGCTTTATGTTGCTCATGCTAATGCAGCCTTGCAGCCTTCTTTGAAGTTCATAATTTTGTTAATACTGGTGGGAAAGGCACAGAGTACCAAATAATCTTGCCCAGAACTTCTCACTAGCCCAGCTGGAGGGAGACATTGGGAACCCTGCAGCAAGTCACCTTGCTGTATAGTTTGCAAGGAGTGGTCAGTGGAATGTGTCGTTCAGGGATTAAAGCAGCACCTGCCTCCTTCCTGAGACAATGAGATGCTGCTTATCCGGTCTGCTTAATCAAATAGCCTGCCTGCATGTGGCAACCAGAGGTTGTTTGCTGTGGGGCTGGCAGGAAACCTCGTGGAAATGAGGAAGTGAAGAGAGGTTTGATGCTGCCTCTAAGAGTAGGGTGTGATAGCAATGGATGGGAAATGCATGTGAGGCAGGGAGTTGGGAGGCCTCAGGGAGGCAGGAGAAGCAGCCGTGCGCATCTCAGCGAGCATTGCACTGTTCGGTGTCAGTCTTAATTCAGTTTGTCCGTTGTAGAGGATATGCAGGTAAGAGAGCAGGCGATGTCAAAGACTTCTTGCTAGCTGCTGGTCAGAACATTACAGCTAGGTGGTCAAATCATTTGGCCTGGGAAAGGGAAGTTCCCTCATATTCCTGAAGCACTCAAAGAAATAAATGCACCCGCTTTGCTTCTGCCCTTGGGGTAAACCATGCAAGCTTATTTTGGGTGCAAAATGCACACTGGAAGAAGGGAAGAGCAAGGTGAGGGAAACAGGAACGGGAGGTCCTGTGAGAAACTGGGGAGGAATGCTAGAGCCCTAGAGTCATCCAGTTCATTTAGAAAAAAAACTGTTTTCATACAACCTCCCCTCCTCCGCACTGCAAGACATGCAGCCTAAAAATATAACCAAATCTGGGATTCTTTGATAAAACCACCAGCTTTCTTGTTCCAGAAGCAGGTTGCATGATGGCTGTTGCAATTACAGATGTGTGGAGTTTTAAACCCTTATCAGGGCAGAAATGTGCCTGCTTGCTGGACAAAGGAGTCATTTATGCTGCGCCAGCAGGTAACTGCACAATGAAACCGTGATAAAAGCTGGGAGAAGAGATGGTCATCAAATGACAGACTTCAAATTGTAATATGTACATAATTGCAGAACTGTGGATTCTTTTTTTTTAATTCAGGTGACTCTTGGGAGGGGGAATTCATTTTTAATAATTACTTTTGGTGTATATTTAGTAGAAGCAGAAAGAAAAAGGAACAGGAAATCCTGGATTGGCCAGTTTGCAATATTTTCAGAAATACACATCCAGAACAATGATAGATTCTGATTTTTTTTTGTCTATTTACATTTTTATTGCATTAGCATTCCATATTGTGTGCTACTCTGTGTACACACTCAATACGGTGAAACCTGTGTTGGAACTTGGCTTTTGCTTATGCCACAAGTACCCTGCGTTTTGCACCTTTCTGAGAAGATTTCTGTTGCACAGTGGAACTAGTTGACATGAATCTTTCAATATGCTGGGACATAGGTTGTCTCTAAATTATATTGTACCAAACTGCATTATGGTGAAGCAGTTTGCTCTGTGTTCTGACCTCTCTATGAACTAAGACCGGTGAGGTGTTGTGATAAAGAGTACAGGAGTGGGACTCAGGAGATCTGGGTGCTGACTGTTGGCACCTTGCAGAAATCTGGGGCAGTTGCAGCAGAAAGAAACAAGAGTGGTTTGCTGCCAAAATTTGGCAACACACTGCCGTGGAGCAGTATATGTAGGTGAATTCAGCTGCAGAGCAATCAGTAAGTTTTGTTTTGTTTTGTGTTTCTTTTCTTTTTTTGTTTTTGTGTTTTGTTTTGTTTTGACATTACCAATTTCAGGGGGAAAAAGGGGGCAGTGAGGACCATACTACAGTGCATGTGCTATGTCACTCAGCCCTGGTTGAAATGAATGAAGCAGGAAGCAGAGTCCCCTGGCACTTCTTGCCTTCTTGCTTGCCCAGGGCAAGAACTGCAAGAACCTTGTATCTGGCTACAACCCTGAGGAAGCCATTGAATGCCATGACCCTCTCCAAGGGTTGTGTGAATTTAGCCTGAACCAGAATGTGAGCTTGCCTTCTATTTGTTAATTACTCCCCAACTAATCTGCTTGCAATTTATTTATATCTTCTGCAGAAGACCTGTGGGATTGTAGGTTCCCGTCCGTGGGAGGTGCTACTGTCTTGGTTGTGGACACAAAAGAGAGGTAAGTAACCTTTTGGGTTGCATTATTAGAAATTACAATGGCTGGGACCATGTACTGGTTTGAATGGGTGGTGGAATGGAACTGGGGAATAAAGGGAGATGAAGCATTCTCTCCCACACTGCTTTTTTTCTACAACGAGGCTTTGTTATGTTGTGCAAGCAAATCTTGCCTCTCTGTGACTTATTTTGCTGCACCAACGAAGTACTCAAGCATGTCTCCATTGCAAATGTACACTGAGATTGAGGACTAGATGATAATATGCTACTGTCATTGCAGTAAAGGGGTGTCTTCTTTTCAGTTCCAAAGTGGATATTTTTATAAGAAACCTTTTCAGATTCTTACAAATATGTGGCAATCAGACATATTTTAGACTTGGTCATTCATTTGCTAAACAATTGCTTTTAATGGCCATTACCACCCCCAAGGGATGATACAGAAGCATGTTGAATACATCCACTCATAGAAATAAATCCAGTTTTAAAAGTCTTTTTGTCCTCTAATATCCTCTGATAATGGTTTTGTCAAGGAAGCAATGTTTGCTTTATAAAGATAGATCAGTTAATAGTATTACTTCCCAATTGCAGCAGAAAACAGCAATGGATCCCCCCCCCCCCCGATTGTTGATGCCTCTTTACAAAGGGAAAGTGAGGAAGATGAAATATGTGTGGGAGACCTGGAGGAAATTTTATTAGATGGCACCATGAATTCTGAAGAAAGAAATAATTGCCAAGAATGAATATGAGTGAGAGAGCTAGATGAAGTGGTTCCTTGAAAAGTAAGAAAAACGGGCAGTTTCAGTCCTCAGAACCAGAGAATGGAGCTCAGGTATTTAAAGGTCTGGTTGAGATTAGCCAGATGTTTTTCAAGGACCAGTGATTTGGGCTTGCAAACCTGGTGAGAAAATTTTAAAGAAATTATACAACTGCAAAAAGCAGTTACTATTAGCCAAGCTGCAGTTTCTTTGCTATGTGCTTTAGTAGAATTTAGCATTTCAACGGTTGCTTCTCCCCAGAAAATCTTGGAAGAAAACTATAAATATGCTGATTATTCTTTTCCACACATCGAAAGCCAAAATTGCCCTGCTAAGGAGTGGAATAGTTTATTACCTGTTTTTGGTATTCTATGAGACATATTCACAGTATATGTAGATCTCTGGTTGGTAACACATCTAGCCAACTGTTAAGGCAATCTATGAGGAATATAGATGAGTACAGGGAGAGCCTTAACAGACTTATGAAGCTGAATTAACCGTTCTTCAGCATGACAAAAGTAACTTGAATGGAATTCATTAATGAATCAAAACTCATTGGTGCAACTAGAAAAATGATTTGAAATCATATCCATTCATAATTGAAGAACAAAGGCTTTGCAGGGCTGCTTCTCTAGGAAAAAGGCATTACTACAGGTCTTTCAGACTCTATCAGACACTCATCTGAAGTGGGAAAAATTGGACAGAGTTCAACTACCTATTCCACATTGCCCTATACACAGCAAGAGTAGGCAGACCCTTTGCTGGCTTCTTTTTCCATGATAACTCAGAGATCCACCAACCAGAGCCCGGTGCAGAAGACATAGGCCCGGTTTGCACAAAAGGGTCCCAACTCTAAGCTTTCTGTAGAGTGACAAGCCAGAGTTCCTAGTTTGTATGGCACATTAGCTAAGCTTTGGACAGTGTCCCTGGCTGTCCCACTGTTAGGGAAATCCCAGTGAGAGTGATTGAGCTGTATGAGCTAGCATCCCACTTGGCTCAGGGCAGTCCAGAATTATAGAAGCATAGAAACAAAGCAAGTCAGAAGGAATCTCACAGACCATCTAGTCTGACCCCAGGGTCCAGCTGGCTCTGTTTATGGAATTCCCAACATGTGGCTGTCCAATCTTTCCGTGAACACCCTCACTGATGGGGCCTCCACATGACATCCCCTCACATACCTATAAGTCGTTAAAAGATCCCCTTGGAATCTCCCTTTCTCCAGGCTGAAAGGACCCAGTTCCCCCAAATCTCGCCTCGTATGTCATCCCTCCCAACATGGCTACCATTCTTGTGACCCTGCACTGAACCAGTTCTGACCTAGCTATGTCTCTCCTGTAATGTGGAGCCCAGAACTAGAAAGAGTACTCCAGCTGTGGGTGCACCAGAGTCATGTAGAGCAGTATCAACACCTCCCTAGATCTGGAACCCATGCTTCTGGCTATGCATGCAAGGGTGACGGTTGCCTTCTTAACCCCCACGCCACACTGCTGGCTCATGTTCAGCCTGCTGTTGACAAGTACCCCGAGATCTCTTCCACAAGTGCTGTTCTCCAGCCACTTACCCTGCATCCTGTACCTGTGACACCTATGCCAACCATGCCTTAATCCATTGGACAGTGCATTGATCTATCCCAATCTCAACAACTTCTCAACCAGGATATCATGTGGCACTTTGTCAAAGGCCTTGCTGAAATTCAGGTAGACCACATGCACTGTGTCCCCTCCGTCTAGCCACCTTGAGACCTGTTTTTACGTGCTGTTTTGCTGTGTGGCTGCCAACCTCCTTTCCCTATCTAGGGTTTCTAGAGCTGCCCCTCTCATGAGCCTTTCTGTTGTCTTTCCCAGAATGGACATAAGGCTAACTAGCCTGTAATTCCCCATATCCCCTCTGCGAACCTTTTTGAAGATGCCATCTCCAGAACTCCTCCCCTTTTCCATGAGGCCTCAAAAATGAAGGCCAACAGCTGCAAGAGAACCCCTGCCAATTCCTAGAGTACCATCAGGTGTAGCCCATCAGAGCCTGGTGCCTTTAACATCCAGGGCCCTGAGGAATTCCTCGACTTCTAGGCAGGTGACTCCAGTCTGTGCTCCCATAACCCCAACTTCATCTAGGCCCCCAGGTAGATCCCCCCAACCCGCTCTGGGGAGAACACAGAGGCAAAATAATTTAACATCTGTGCCTGTTCCCTTACATCAGTTACCAGATCCCCTCCCTCCCCTTTAAGTGGTCCCATTGCCTGTCTCCCCATCCTCATGAAGAAATCCTAGTTTTCTCAGCAGAAGCTTAGACTCTGGATCATCCTATCAAAGTTGCTATGCTATATTGGCTCAGTGAATACTGGCACCCATTGCTGACACTTGATGATCAGTGAGAATTCTTTTTACCAGGGAGGAAATTCTCTTGGAGAAGCGGGTCCTCTCTGCTCCCATCACCTTTGATGTACTGTGAAAGCCCTTCCTCCTCTTGTCCTCAGCTGCCCAAGATCCTCTTTCATCCTCTCAGGGAAATCCTGTTGCATCCAGGGAAGGAGCTTTCCACACTTCCAACTGTAGTCATCAGAAATTATGGCAGTTGAAGACACCATACCATCTTGGGAGCTTTCTGGAACCATCAGCTTGGCTGCTGTGAGGTTAATAGTGCTGCTGATCAGATGGATTTTAGGTGTACACAAGCAAGGGAGGCAATTCTGATGTTACATAAGGATTCCTTTGTCTGAGGGAATTAAAAGTGGAGGGTGTTTGCAGGGGAGTGGCTTTAAAATGCCAAGAGGAGATGGCCAAAGGCATTTCTACATCTTTGTCAGCTAAAGGAGTTTTACGGCAGAAATTGGTCTTACTGTGTTAGAAGGCTTTTTTTATTTTTGTGTTTACCATAGTCACCTTTCTTGATCTTGGTTCATTGTGCATGTTCTGGAAAGTTACCTGTTGCAAAATACAGCCAGCCTCAAGCTTTCAACAAGAGTGCCTCACAGGTGTCTGCACTCCCATTTTCTTGCAAATAATATTCTTGCAAAGTGAATGGCAAAAGGCTCTTACAGAATGAGAGGAAAGGCAGCACTGTAGATGTCTTGTCAAAGAAAGTCAAGTAGAAGGAGTGGTTTAGGAATCTAGGGACTGCATACAGTGGTGCCTTGTAGTTCGAATGACTCTTAACTTCGAACGATCCAGAGTTCAAATGTTAGAGTCGAGATAAAATTGCTCCGCAGTTCGAATAATGCTTCTAAGTTCAAACGGCAAGCGAACTGGAAAAAATGTGGCCGCAGTGAAACTGCCATTAGTTGTACACCCAAGTTAAAAAAAAAAAGCCGCGATGTCCTGAATCGATTTGTCTTGACTTGAATTGACTCCTCTTGAATCAGTTTGGCTCATCTTGACTTGCATCGGTTTGTCTTGCATTGATCCAGGACATCGAGGCAGCCACGACAGCACAACTCATGGGGTGAGTCTGTTCGAAGCGAGGGGGAGTATTTAGAGGGGGATTAATGACAATGAGTCTTCTGTGTAATATATATTTTAATTTAAACATTCACTGTATTTTTTGATCATACCTCTTATATAAGCTCGAACTTAATTTGTTTCAGGAGGCCGTATTTGCAGTTTCAGTTTACCAGAATGGGCACTGTTTAGGGTCTGAGAATGGATTGATTCACTTTTCATTATTTCTAATGGAGAAAATTGATTTGGACTTTGAATGATTCAGAGTTCAAATGACCTCCTGAAATGAATTATGTTCGAAGTATGAGGCGCCACTGTACTTTCTTTTCCTTGATTATCAAGCAACGTTGTTGCTTGCTGTGACTTTGTACATTCATACATACTACGGCATTTTCAGGTAGTTCATATTTTAGTGTTGGTGACTGAGATGAAAGGAAAATTTAGGAGGGGGTAAATGGGGAATACCTACCAATTTTTTTTCATAACTCAAGCTTACTTGTCAGAGTTTGCATCTATAGATTCTTAATTTAAAGTATGCTCAGGCGTCTAATCCCTGCCCCGACAGGGCTTGGATGGGCCTCTCCTGGCCCCCTCTTGAACGGATTACCAGCGTGAAGTACGGAGCCCCGTTCTTCACAGCCTTCCTGCCATGGTGTCAACCAGAAGTCCCCTAATTTCATCACTTTTTGAAATGAGAATTCTAAGTGTCTTCTCATTTTAAACTGTTATTAACTCTTCTCATTTTAAAAACATGGGATATAAATATATAAAATATATACATCCTAAATGACCAGCACTCTGCTGCCCTTCCTTACATACTAGAAGGAAAAGCTGCTGTAAAATCCATCAAGTTTGGTAAAACAGGAGAGAGATGGTTCTTCCGTGATCCTGAAACTCACCAGGTACAATGCCTAATTGTACCTGAAACTCCTGCACTCTTGGCTTATGGCCAATGCCCTTAATTTATCTCAGGGAACATTTTAATCTGTGATTTAGAGCTTCCGCTATGTAACTACACCAGTTAATCAGTTAAAGGGTTTCAGCTCATGGTTTATTCCATTCCCAGATCACAGGCAAGATACCACCAGCTCTAGCATACCTTTTGGCCATTTAAATAAGTCGACTGCACCACTTCTGAAAGCAGCATTTGCAGTGCTGCTGTGAATCTGTGTGTGCCAGCGTGTGTGCGCGTTGTGTATGAATCCCTCAGCTGTGACATTTTCCCAGGTTGATGACTCCCTGTACAAAGTGTGCAGCTGTAAACAGGGCAACGCTGATAAACACAGTGAGAGGTTATTCAGCAAAGCTGTGAGGCTACAAGTGTAGCCGGACAGGCTGATAGAGGCACCAGCGCAGAGTTCAGTTCAGCAAAGACACTTCAGGTAAGGCAGAGCCGTTTCCTGGCTGTAATTCCGTAGCCCTCTCAGAGCTTTAGAAGGAGTCAGATTAGGAAAGTGATTGTGATTTTTTGCAAGTCTAGGCAGGAGCTCTGTAAGTCAGAAAGTCATGGCAGATGTAAGATCTTTTGTTGCTTTTAGGAGCAGGGCCAACAGGTAGTCTCAAGAGGGGTCGTGGGGACCAATATGGGGAACTCTTTATCCTCCAAAAGATGGTCCATGGGTGCACCATTCCACACAAGATTTGACACACTCCCTTCTGTGAGTGATCAAACCCTGTGATAACACTTTACTTTCTCATATTGGTTAAAGCATCACAGCTTTGTAACATGTGTGCAGGGACATACCAGGTGTGGAACATTTTGGTGGCTTGCAGCTTGAAGATATTTCCATTTTCCTTGCTATTCTTTCCTCCCATTTGGATTATACTATGGTAAGACTTCCAGAGGCCAGAAAAAATGTTTTATGGTGCTGGTGGGTGGGGAGAAGATACCATTCCCTGCTATTGAAGAAAGTAGGTTCTGCTGGCCTTGAGACTTCCAAGGCATTCCTTAGAATGGCTCTTGCCCTGGGAAAGGAGCAATCCTGGAAATGCCTCTTTTCTTTATTTCTTTTCTTATACAAGGAAAAGTGTCCTGCATGTCTGGTTGGAATATCGTGCATTTGACTTTGTGTGCAAGAGAGGCAGCGTTGTCCTGTCTGAATATGTTTTAGATTGGTGAAGGTTCAAGTCACAAACTTTTACAGTTGGCCCCAAAGGAGCTCTTTTCGTTGTTGCAGAATTAGAGCCATTCCTACTACACACCAAAAGCAATTTCTGAACCCTGTGCAGGTCTTCCCTGGGAAATTCACATGGGCTGTAGTTTTGCAGGAGTATTGAAAATCCTGCTAGGATCACAGAACTACATAGAGGAATCACTAGAAGAAGTAAACCAGTCTAGGCTTGTAACATACATTTATTCTGATGATCACACAGAGGTCCTGTTAATATGAATGCTAGGATAGCTAGGGCCACGTTAAATAGTCACAATGGAATTAACCTTTTTTTTCCAAATAACTAGGAAGTGCAAGGAACCTGAGTCAATCCAGGCTTGGGAGCCAGTAGGGACCCCTTTGCCCCTGCGCTGAAGGAATCTGGATTGTTTTCCCCACTTCTGCTATTTGAAAGGAAGGAAAGCTTCCTTTGGCATGAATGGGGTGGTGGGGGGCGGGGAGTCACCTGTTCCTACTATTTACTATTTTGAAAACATCCACATTCTTGTTAATACTGCCATATTTAGTTTGCCCCACATTTTTATACTCGAGGAAGCAATTCCAAAATCTACATCCAGAGGAAGGCACCTGCTATTTCTTAAAAATGGAAAAATACATATTTTTATGTATACAACAATACATAAATTGGTTACAATCAAAATACGTTGATCTTGGCTTGACTCTGGAGAAAAGACAGTGACCCATTCCAAATAATGCTAGCCTAACAAAGTCCAATTCTGGTTTGCAAGACTAATTATGGTGGTGGGTAACTTTGGTCGATGTTTTATTTTTCTAAATTAAAAAAATATTAAAAAGCCTAATTAATCAAACAGGAGCTGCCACCTTGACAAACTGCTGATATAATTTAGAATCCAAGGAAAGCATGGAAGAGGCAGAAGAAAACCACATTGGTCTGGAGGTAAGAAGCTGTACAGTTTTTCAGGTGGTGTTCAGAAGAGGCAGCTGAGCACCATTTTCTATTCAGGCATGGCTGCCCCCATTCAGGTCTTGTTTGGTGGGAAGGGCTGGCAAATCCTGCTGCTGCATGTGCCGTGACTTCAGATATAAGTCCCAGGCTGGCTAAATGCTTCTGGGAAAAGCTGATGTCATTCCTCTGGCTTGGGGTGAGTGATGCCCACTTTGAGAAGTCATGTAGGTCTGGATCCTCAATGTTAGGCTTGCCCTGCCTTAATTTAAGAGATCAACTCCTCCCACAGGTTCATTCCCTTTAAGATAAAGTTGCAGAATGACTCCCTCCCTCCCCCCCTCCCTTCCTTCCTTCCTCGGAAGTGCTAAGGTGGTCTTCACTGGGCAGGATGGGTCAGCATCCAGCTTGAAACTGACTGTCCTCATTTCTCTGAACATGCTCTCTTCACTGAATGAATGGCAGTGCCAACTAACACTTGCATGGAAAGGGCAAGTGAGAGCCTTCCTAACTGATCAACACGATTCTAATTCTCTCCACTCACGCCTCGCCCTCTGTCTCAGTCCCAGGGTCAGTGGGGCAGGATATCCACTCTGGGTTTTAAGGTGGTATCCATGGTGTGAGCCTTGCCCCCCAAAAGCTTCTTTAAAGTTCAGAGTAGATGCACAGCCTTTCTGACCCTGGAGCCATCAGCTACTGCTGTCCCTTTCTTCTGTGTGACATTTCTAAGTACAACGTGCAACCAGCAGCCCCTGATGTTCCAAAAGGGCCAGGTTGTCAAGCAGGAAATAATTAGTGATTGAGCGATGAGAAAACGTCTGTTCGATATTTCATCTGTTTCCAAAATAACCAATGTCTCTGCCCCCTCTACAAGTTTGGAGTGGATTTTGGCTATTATCTCTGGCTGAGAACAACGGCAAAGGAGACTGAAGGGAGAGAAAGAGCACAGGGAAATCAGTGAAAAGCATTGATGGACATTACAAGCTGGCCCTGCCTCCCCTGGCTCTGTGTCAGGAGGCGCTGTCCATATCAGCCATGCTTTCTCCCATTTCTTTTTAGGATATTGCTGTCTGCAATAGATTCTGAGCTTGTGCACTTGTGCAAAATGGCTTTGCATATGGACACTTGTATTTCTTTCCAGCCACGGAGAAGGCGCATTCATATGAACAGGCCTGAAAAATTGGGTCTGCCAATATTGCAAAGCATCTCTGGTTATCTAACATGTCCTAGAAACTGGCCCTATAGGCCAGCCCAGCAGCCCTACCTGTTCAATCAAATGCTCAAGTATCTTGGCGTGGAAAGCTAGAGTGGATGGCTTGCCTGTCTGCCAAACATTACAAAGTTCCCTCATGTTGGCTGCGCTTAATACCTCATGGGAACAAAAGACCCGGGCAGTTCTCTGTTCTCTATTGAATCAGTGCCAGTTTCAAGTTAGGTCAAAGCAGCTTCAGATCCCATCTATCAATGTGCTTTAGACAAGAGATGAATTAGTACTTGCCTGCAATGGATTCATTCTGTGTACCTTCAGAAGTGTGCGTCTTTATGAAAGTGCTCCAGAGCACCGAGGAAAAAGAAGAAGGAAAAGAAGAGGAAACAAAGAACATATTATTTAATGCATGCAGTAAATCAAGCAAACTGAGTGATCTGTAAAAACAGATTGTATTCAGGAGTTGAGTGATACCACCCTGTGCTGTGATTTTTCTTAGGAGAACGTGTTTTGTAAAAAGGTTCCAGGATATATTTTCTGCCATTCTGGCAATGATGCAGTCTTATGGAAAATGCTATTTGTGAAGCTTACTTGCTTGATTACTCAAATCTCTTCCCCTGCAATCATGCGCTGATGTGACAGTTCAAATAAAGGAGTGACGCCCTGTATGTAGTTATATGCAGCACTGAAACTGGCGGAGCAGTCATCCTGAAATTTGGTAGAACTCTGTATTTCTGAATCTCTCTTCAAATACTCTCTTGAGATTTACCTGCACAAATGAACAAGTTTTTCAATCATCCTGTATTAGCTGCATCTGCCAAAGAGCAATCCAAGCGGCAGAAATGACGTGCACAACCACGTATAATTTCAGGACCTGCCTTCAATATTTTGCATTGTTAGAACAAATCCAACCCATGCTAAGAGCGTTTGCACATTTCTTCTTGAAGTAGTCAAAGTGGACACCCCACTCAGTGCGAGCAGAGAGCCATGCGCTAAAGGAGTCAATGCACATGTCCAGCTTTTAAAAACTCCACACACTTTTTGGTAAGTTCATGGAACTGAGCAGCCACAGATTTAATAGGTTCCAGTACCTCCCTGTAACGGAGTTCTCGGCAGAACTATGACTAAGGTTTAAACATCAAAACCTTCAACTGGGGAATCTTTCTGGTGGTGGCATCTCACCCCTGGAATGTCTGGCAGCCCCTTGCTTGTTATTTCAATGTCAGGCAGTTACCTTGTTAGTTTTTCAGGTTTTTGAGAATTTGCTGACTTTTTCAGCTGCATGTTATTATTGATTGGCATGTTAGCTTGTGATGTGTAGTTTTGTTGTTATTTTAGAATGTAATCTTTGTATTTTTTTAAAGTGTCACTACCCTAGGAATGCAGATTGGCTACTGAAGAGCTGGGACACAAATATTGGAAATAAATAATTAGTAGGATAGTGTACACTAATCTATAGAAGAATTTGGTCACAAAAGAGGGGAGATAATATTGGAAAATAATGAAGGGGCTGGGATTGAACTCAAGAGTACAGGGGCAGGGTTTTGTAGGCTGACCAATGCTGCTTCCCTTTAGGAGAAAATGCCTTCATCATTAAATTGATCTTTGCAACAAGCAGGGAGATTAAGCCTGTCTCCCCATTAAGGTGGCGCAGTGGTTTAAACCGCTGTGCTGCTGGGCTGGTAGATTGAAAGGTCGCTGGTTTGAATCTGCACAATGGGGTGCGTTCCTGTTGCTCCGTCCCAGCTCCTGCCAGCCGTGCAGTTCGAAAGCATGCAAATGCAAGTAGATAAAAAGGTACCACTTCGGTGGGCAGGTAGCAGCGTTCCGTGCACTTCGGTGTTTGGTCATGTCGGCCACATGACCACGGAGGCTGTTTGCAGACAAACGCTGGCAACCTCGGCTAGGAAACGGAGATGAGCACCATCCCCTAGAGTCAGGCATGACTGGACATAACGTCAAGGGGAAACCTTTACCTTTACCCCATTAAAAGGAAGCAAAAATGCTTTAATTAATTAATTAATTAATTAATTTTTCTACTGTCCTAAAGCCAAAATTCTCAGAACTGTGCACAATAGCAATAAATGCACTAAAATACAAAACAGAATAAATTTTTAAAAATCATAGCATTAACTTTAAAAATTTAAATCACATTTTTACAACTAAAAGCTAAAACCAGTCGATATTGTACACATAAGTCCTACTGAATGACAGCCACTTCCCCCTTCCCTTATGCTATTTGGAGTTGGTAAATGCTGCTACAAAGAAGGTGGTCTTAACTGGGCTTCCAAGAGGTTCCGAGTAGGGAACTAGGTTTCTTGGGATCTGTTGGACGGCTGAAAATGTGCTGAAAGCCAGTGTTTCTGAACTATAGGGCAATTGCATTCGGTTTAGGAATGAGTCACCTTCTTTCCCCCTCTACAGCAGCACACATTTATTGCCAAGATTATGACATGTATCTGGAGATGCAACTGCTCACTGAATGGATACTTCAAGCAAGGATGTCTTATTAGAGAGTAATGGTCCCCTGTTCGGTGATGTGTCCCAGATACGCTATTTAGAATGAGCTCTGATTCAGCAGAACAGTTTACTGGCAGGGTACTCAAACCACATTGGTAGGTATGATGGCTATTATTTGCCTACATCCAGTAAAAGTTATGTTTGTTAATCTTGGGGCACAGCAACCAGGAAAAGAAAAGAGAAGAAACATAATGGTAGGGTAATGTTAGGTAAGGTGGTTTATAGCACAATTGGGACTGTCAGATCTTAAAATAAATTGACTTGTGCAGTGAGAAAAAATGTATCTTGTTTGTACTAGCCACTGCCCTAGGTAACTCTAGAAGCAACCTCCTGATGCACACTTCATTCTGTAACAAAATAAAATGTTCCAGTATTTGAAGCCTATTGAGGTGATGGTGAGTGATGAGTGAATTAGCATTATGAAGGCAGAGGATTCAGAAATTAGTGCTGATCATCAGAATTGTCTCATTACTGTAAGTGATCCATTTCTAATATAGGCAAGTTATGTAGGGAAGGGAAAAGGCAACGGAAATGATCAAGGAGCAGCTTCTGCTACCAGAAAGCATCACGGAGTTTTCTAGTTTAGAAAATGACGGCAGTGCATAAAATTGCACATGGTGTGGACAAAGTGGATGTCTCTTAGTTAGGCATCCAGTGAAGCTATTAGTGGGAGAGTCAGGACAGGCTAAAGGAAGAACTTACTCAGGCACTGCATAGTTAAATATCTAGTATGTTGTACATTCTGATAGACAAGTCTTTCCAGGATTTAAGGCAGGGAAGGATCTTTCCCTACAATTTGTACCTGATTTTTTTTGAGTGGAGCGGCTGGAGACTGAACTCTGGAACATCTGTGTGCAAAGTATATGCTCTACCATTAGGATATGGGTTCTCTGATATATCAGTGGAATTTTTCTCAATGTCTGCATCTGAACCAGATCTATTTACTAGTTTGTGCAGTGAGTCAGAATCAATATCCCTCAGTCTCTCTCCATTTCCCTTCCCAGCTGATCAAAACCAGAGGCTTCTAATTACTGTCTTCTATTATGTTGGCCAGCTAGGACTGACTTTGTGATACAGAGTGAGTGATATACATTTGCTAGCATCAAATTAACGAGCCCTCTAATGGTGGATTTAGTTCAGTCCATGCCAAGAGTTGATTCCAAATTGAATCCCTTCCTCTCTTCCTTTCCAAACAGAGGTGGATCCACCCCAAGGGAAGTTCATACGCTTGTAGGCCAGATGGTGGGGATGCTGGATGTTACTTAAT